AGTAGTAGTAGTAGTAGTAGTAGTAGTAGTAGTAGTAGTAGTAGTAGTAGTAGTAGTAGTAGTAGTGGTAGCAGTAACAATAGCAACAATAATGACCATAACCGTCATAACAACAATACCAACAGGAATAACGGAATCACACCAATGGTCGAACAAGAATAACGATGTTAATAACAATAGCAATAGCAACAATAACAACAATACCAGTAATGACCATACTAGTAGTACTGTAATGATAATTTCAACAAGAGCAATAACAGTAACCATCACAATACCAAAGACACAAAACAGTCACATTTTCAATCACGACAACAGTAACACTAACAATAGCAATAGCAATAGTGCTAAAATAACCGTGGCAATGCATGATGAAAATAGTCATATTGTAAGCTCTGGTCCAAGCAATGAAGCATGTAGTTCGGAAAGATGTCCGGTGCAGTCCATGTAAATATTAACCTGTAACCCTAAACTCTAAGCTGCCTGAACGGTACTCGCACGCTTCAGACACACAAGCCTGCAGCCGGCTAGCACTTGTGGCCTTGTAGCAATGGTACGAATGCGACCAATATTCTTACAATAATGAGTAGTTTTAATATGCCCACAGGAGTCTTTTTTGCACTGGTAATCATAGAAACACTTGGTACCAACCAGTGGTCTTCACCTGTCTCGGAGATACTTTCCTGTTTCAACCGACCGGATGTTTGTTAAAGCCTTGGGCCGGGTTTGGGGATCCCCTTTGGGAATTCTTACAACAAGTTTGGGACGCACGCGCCTAGGGTTGAGGTTTTAGGCTATAGGCTTTGGGTCATTTAGGCCCTGGCAGTGCCTGTACAGGGATCCCTGGGGTCATCCTGGGATTTCGGGATGTAGGGTTTAGGCTGTTGCGGTTTAGGGCTAATGTAGGAACCTGATTCAGTTTAAGAAACCCTGGGCCTAGAGCCCCGAAATAGTAGGTTTCATAATAAGGAACCGACCCAAGGTTTCTTAATCAGGTTCCTACATTGAATCCTAAACGAAAACCCTATACCCTTTATAGAACCCTAGTAGATCCCTTGATAAGGAACCCTTAAAGGATCCCTTAAACCTACCTTGGGGCTCCATTTTGTGAGATGCCCGAGGTTCATGGCCAACTCGCTGAAAAAGTCTCCGGCCATTTTGGGAGGCCGCGGAGGACGTGAGTCTTTTCGGGGCTTTAGGGCCTCTTGGTTTAGGGCCTGGGGGTTTAGGGTTTAGGGTTTGGGATTTCGGGTTAAGGGTTTAGGATTTAGCGTTCAGGATATAGGGACGGGGGGATCCGTGGTGTTGGTCTGTACCTAGAGGCTCCATAGTAGTTCCTTTTTGTGGTTCATATGTAGAATCCTAGAAGGTAATCCCAACAAGGAACTACTATGGAGCCTATGTGTAGGCTCGTTTATCACCGATGCAGTTTGTTTCGGAGCTGTGTAAGTTTTGTACTGTAACGCTTTGGTTGGTCTGGATCGGTGATTTTCTTTCCGGAGTTTGCTTTAAGCTGCCTTGATAAGAGAGCTACACGTTTTACGGTACATCTCTGCAGTGATAACTTAAATAGGTCGAGCTCCTTAACAAGAATCTAAGAACTCAAGACTTTGGCTTAGGTAACCCTGCTTGGAGGATCATGAGGCTTAGTAAGTAAGGTTATAAGTACCTTAATCGGGGTTATAAGTGGTTATAAGTAGAGTTACCCTAAGTATAACTCTAGTTACTAAGTCCCTTGATCCTTTGAGTAGACCCTAAACCCTAAATCGCATAGATCCCTTTAAGGAACCCTATAGATCCCTGTAGTTACTAAGTCCCATGATCCTTTAAGTAGACCCGCAACCCTAAACCCCATAGATCCGTTAAAGCTCCCCTATAGATCCCTTTAAAGAGCTCTTTAAGAACCCTTACTAAGTCTCATGATCCTGTAAGTAAGAACCCAAGACTTTGGCTCAGGTAACCCTGGGGCTCCCGTTACCTAAGCAGCAGCCTTCCCCGATTCATGTACGGCCTTGGCAGGCCTTACTAGGGGAGTTTCCGAAAATAGGGGACCCTAATATAGCACCCGAAACAGTAGGATCCTTATCATAAGGACCCGAAAATAAGGTGCCCCTAATTTTCGACTCCTATAGATCCCTTTAGGGAACCCTTATAGCAACCCTTTAAAGGAACGCTAAGGAACCCCTAATCTTCGGAAACTCCAATTCTTGCAACCACGAAGCTCACGCTTTTTAACAGCAAGGGCCTGGCGCCGTGGACCCTTCTAAACCATAACCCCTTAAATCCTGCTTACAGGAGCATGGGACTTAGTAACCAGGGTTATAACTAAGGAAATTCTACTTATAACTACTTATAACCCCGATGAAGGTACTTATAACCTTAGTTACTAAGTCCCATGGAAACCTCCACATAAACCCCTAAATCCTGAACCCCTAAACCACTAAACCCTAAAGCCCTAAAGCCCCAACTCAAGCCTCCACAAGGCGTTCCTTAGTTGACGTTTTAAACCCCGAACGCAAGGCAACGGCAAGCGTTGGCACCACGTGATGAGCTGAGTATCAGTTCACATCCTTGAGATGTACCTCGCGCGACATGCTGGGTATTCTGCTGCAGGTATGTACGGATTCTGAAACATCTTAGTTTCAACCGTGGCATCTGCACAACAACAACGACAACTCCTGCCTCCTACCTCCTACCCCTACTCCTGCTCCGACTCCTACTACTCCTCCTGCTCCCACTCCTACTCCACTCCTTCTCCCGCTCCTATGTACTCCTCCTCCTCCTCCTCCTCCTGCTCCTCCTCCTGCTGCTCCTCCTCCTGCTCCTCCGGCTGATGATATAAATCTTGCGTTACCCATAATAAGGAATATACCATAACTCCCATAGTTCAGGGTCCTTAAGGTAATGCAGGATTTATATCCCTAAACCCTAAACCCTAAACCCCTATAGATCCCTTAAAAGAGCCCCTTAAAGGTACCCCTATAGATCCCTTTAAAGGAACCCTAGGATCCTCTGCTCCGAGTCGTACTCCTGCATGTTTGCTGCTGCAGGAGGCCAACTCTGCACTGAATCTTCAGTTCCTTTAAGGGAAGTATAAGGGCTTCCTTAAAGAGATCTATATTAGAGGTTTCCTTAAAGGGATCTTTAGGGTTTAGGGGTTCAGGGTTGTGGGTTTGGGGTTTTAGGGTTTGGGGGTTTCGGGTCATATGGGTTTGGGGTTTTAGGGTTTTAGGGTTTCAGGGTAGCTTCGGGGTCATCTTACCTTTGGTTAGTAGGGAATGGAAGAATGGTAGCAATAGTAGTTATTAATTGTACCCCATTCCTCCATTCCCTACTAACCAGCGGTCCCTGAGGTCGTCACGGATGAAGGCATCTCGCTCACCCCTGCTGATGCCATATAGCCTTGAGACTGTTAGCGCAGACGGCGAGATGCAGGGTTTGGGGTGTAATATAGGGGCCTTCATGACTACCTATACAATTTTGGGGTTCCTTATTTTTCCAAAGCGAAAATGTTTTTTTACCAGAAGCCGTACTACTGACTGATGCTTCAATTAATGTATGGCCTTGGCGGCTTTAACGCGAAGTTTTGCCCCAGGACTACGCCGCTTGCCCTGAAACCATCGAAACCACCTATTATTTGGGGTTTGGCTGCCTACGAAAAACACTAAGCACCGTGACCACGAGCCTGAAATTGCTAGTGAGAATGGCTTACGGTGCAGTCGAACTCCCAAACATGGCTGTGAAGCATACCCCGAAACATAACCTGAAGCATACCCCCGAAGCATACCCCCCATCTCAACATGCCTGCTTGGACGCCTGTTTGGCGAAAACACCCGTATAGTTTCATGGGCCCCGAAACCCTAGTCGAATCATTAAGGCTCTCTCTCTCTCTCTCTCTCTCTCTCTCTCTCTCTATATATATATATATATATATACAAGATCTGGGGATTAACAGTTGATTTCAGAGCTCTTGCCGCATGTTTGGAGGTCGTTCTAACACACGGCATGGTGCTAGCGATCCTATTCTTCTTTATGTGTGCTGGTTGTCCCTTGAGTCAAGACACATCCGAGTTACGGAAGAGTCTTGCCGTGTGACGTGGCACAAGCACACATGGAAGGGCTTGAATTCAATGCAGCGACTCTTGTCTTTCTATAAATGTGGCGTTTGGTTCGACCTTGGTTGTACGTGCCAGTGCTGCGTGCAGTAGGCGGTACAGCAGCGGCGGTGCGCGGAAAAAGTGTGCTCTTGCAATGGCTGTTTGAGTCCGTGCTCGTGGGAAGTTTACTTACCGTAAGTTTCAAGTCTTCAGCTCGAGTCTTGCTTGGTTTCCTCGTTATTTCATATCCTACACCTGAAGCCTCACCCCACCCCGGCCCACCCCACCCCAGCCCAACCACATGCACGCAGCCGCTCTCCATTCCACGTGCCTACATGCCAGTACGGCTTCTCGGTAAAGAGCTCAAGACCCTAGGCAAAGTAAAGATCTGGAGAAACGTAAGCACCTCAAGAACACGACCAACATGTTTCTCTTGTTGTGGGAATCTCCTGCACTGGCTTGAGGCAAAGATATAGGCTAGCCGTGTTAACACCCTGATAACTACGGGCCCAAAAACCTCACATCCTGATTCCTAAACCTTAATCACTTGTAATCCTGAACAGTAAATCTTGCGTCCTAAACCCTAAGGGTCCATGTACCCAAATAGTATATACTTTGGGCCCAATGTACCCATGTAGGGAGTACTTTAAGGCCAATGTATATACTATTTGGGTACATGGACCCTTAGGGAAACCATCTTCATCCCTTGACCCGAAGCCCAAAATCCTCAGTCCTGGGACCCAGATTCCCAAACCCTCGGCTCCTGAACGCAATGTCCTACGTCCTAAACTCAAGATCCCAAACCCTATACCCTAAACCCTTAAGCTCTAAACCCTAAACCTTCAAACCCTATACCCCAAAACCCCCTTAAGCCCGAAATCCTAAACCCTTCATGAGCACGTCTAGGCTGGCCTGCCCCTCGATGCGGGCTACTACCTCGATCATCAGCCCGGAGCTTTAGGGGATTTTGGGGGTTGATGGTTTAGGCTTAGTAGCTGAGTGGGTACATTTACACTTTTTGGGATAATACTACCCACTATAAAACGAAAAGCGTACACTTTTGGGGGGGTTATGAACTCAGCAACTAAGTAGGGGTTATAGGCTTTGGGGTTTAGGGGTTGTGATGTGTTTTCAGACAGTACCAAAACTTGCCAGTGGCAGCTCATGGTTGAGAAGGTCCTTTTCATCATCATCATCATCGTCATCATCATCATCGTCATCATCATCATCATCGTCATCATCATCATCATCATCATCATCATCACGCCCATGTGGTTCCTCCTCCTCCTCCTGCACCTTCACGAACAGTCACACTGGCCGAACATGGATAACTTTGATTGATGGATAGTGATGTCGGCGACGAGCCTGCTCACCACGAGGATCACCGTTGTTCCTCTTCCTCATATTTACTTGCTGACGATGATGCTGTTCACGATGTAGACAGAGATGGTTTGACACGCGAGAGAATTATCATTATGGTGTTGACGATGACGATGGTGGTACAACATGAACTTGAAACAACCACCTGCATAATCTGCTGGCGATTGCGAGCAGGGGAAGGGCCCCCTTAATAATAGATGGTTTAGGGTTGGGTTCCCGTTCGTGATGTTCAAGGTCTTCACGAAGCTACTGCTGTCGTCGTCGTTGTTGCTGTTGCGGCTGTTGCTCGTCAGTCTTGCTTGACATAGACGGGTGGTGGTCACAACTGGGGTCCCTTTTTGGGTACCCTAAATCTTAGGTGCCGTATTATATATAATAAGGCCCAGAAAGGACCCTAATATTGACAACCACCTAGATAGAGAACTGTGCAAGTCATCAGATCCAAGCACATCGCGGGCTGAACATATGACACTTTCTTTGCAGCGGGATGAGCTCGGCAATGGTTTCGATGTTGTTCTGCACCTGGTTGCAGAAGGCCGCTGATGGTCTCTACTGCCATTCCAAACCAGCTGTGCTACGGTGGGCAAACAGAAATTGGCCCGTTGGGTCGAAATACCTCAAATCCGTGAACCCACATGTGGGAGTTTCTGAAAATAAGGGGTATCTTATTTGGGGTCCTTATAATAGGGACCCTATATTTTTAGGGTCCCCTTTTTTCGGAATCCCCCCATGTTGTAAACGAGTGTAGGTAACCAGGAGGTTGATCATGCAGGGTTATTGGTTTCTCAAGTCTGCTCTGCGAAGGGTGCTGTTCATAGTCAGGCCAGCATTCGACGAAGCCTGGGATCTGGAAGATACGTGTGCACAAAAAAATCTAACTGTTTGTGCAAGTAGCTGCGTATCGGTTTATTTATTTCTCAACTATCTCGTATTGGTCTATCTATTTATTTGTCCGAGCGTGTTATCTATCTGCTAAGATATTATATTCGCTTGCCTTTGCAGTGCATTGTCTGTGCGGAGAAGCAAAGCAGGTATGCGTGTGTGTCCGTTGAAGGAATAACGTTTATTCGGTTACCGGTGGGTGGATCCTGGTAGTCAGAATAAGCCAGGTAACAAAATGGGCATTACGATATCGTGTAAACAGCATGGACAAACTTTTGTTGTTTGCGGATATGTATATACGTAATTATGTACAAGGAATTGGTCAGGTGTTCGCCCTGCCTAGGAAAGACACCATGTCCAAATCGTCGGGACTACATCTTCGAGAACGAGCGTTGTAGAGATCTGTTTTTAGTAGTACCCTGAGGGTCCATGTGCCTAAATGGTATATACATTGGCCTTAAAGTACACCCTATATGGGTACATTGGGCCCAAAGTATATACTACTTCGGTACATGGACCCTTAGGGGTAACGAATCCCGCACGATCGAGCCCCAACGTCCAGCGCTCGGTGGCCGCTTGTGCTTTTGACTTAGGCTGAAGCAGCCCCTGCCAATGTCTCAGAGGTTTCTGAATTTTGGGTTTAGGATTCAAGGAACATATTCCAGGGCATTCTGGAATACTTTATTGGTGGTAATTCTCTCAGAGGGCTCTTTTTTGGAGGCCCTAAACCCTAAACCGGGAAACTGTTTGAGCCTCTGTTCATATCCGTTCTGCTTCCTTTGCGTAACTTGGGAGCTCGCACCTTCCCGTCCCACCTAGACTCTACCAAGACCACGAGCAATCCCTCAGAAAGTATCATTGGGCCCAATGTATATACTATTTGCGGACATGGGAACTGTTTGGATATCCTAATTACAAAGTAACCGAAAAGGGCACTCCAATTTCGGGCCTCGGTGGAATCCTGTTCCCCTAGGGATCTAAGGACTCATATATTAAGGCTGTTGGGCCCAAAGACCATACTATATAAGGCTTTTGGGCTATTTTGATCCCTAGGGCAATACCCCTTGATTAAGGAATACATCGTAATATGAAGCCCTATATAACTTAAGCCAAATTCTTTGATTAAGGCCTTTTGGGCTATTTTGATTCCCAGGGTTCTCCGTTGACCTGCATTTCGGGACCTTGAGAGGCCCGGTTCTCAAGGCTTCCCATGCTGGTAACGGCCGAAGCCCGTATCCCTTAATTAAGGAATAGACCTTCAAATATAGTAGGACCCCTACTATGATTTAAGGAAAATTCCGTAAGTAAGGGATATTGGAGTCTTTTGGATACCCCAGGCAGTAGAAGTGAGGCGCTGCAGACTGCAATCCGGATCCATAGTTTGACTTAGATACCCAATAACCAACCTTTAAACTTTTTGGGCTCTAATAGTTCAGCAGGAATCGGAAAGTTTAACCTTTCTTTTCAGTGGCTTATTGGGGGAGTAATGTGAGGGCCTCGGTTAACTTTGGCAGCTATATACAGACTACTGGCAGCCATAGGGGAGTTTCCGAAAGTAGGGGGACCCTAATGTAGTACCTTAAATATAAGGATCCTTACTATAAGGACCCCAAAATAAGGTACCCCTAATTTTCGGAGACTCTAAACCCTAAACCCTTTATAGAACTCCTATAGATCCCTTCAAGGAACCCTTACAGTAACTCTTTACAGGAACCCTAAAGAAACTCCCAGATCTGAACTTCCACGCCGAAGTTTCCAAGCTCAAGCTGCGCACTTTCCCTCCAGCCGGTGTGCCCGAAGAGGATGATGCATCGAGCCATGGCAGACTCTAAACCCCAAGCCATACCCCTACGGGTCCATGTACCTAAATAGTATATACATTGGCCATAAAGTACTCCCTATATGGGTACATTGGGCCCAAAGTATACACTATTTGGGTACATGGACCCTTACAGTCTCCATTGTAGTTCCATTTCGGGAGTCACCTTATAGGATCCTACGTATAAGATCTGTTAAACCACTACAATGGCACCCTAAACCCTCCAGCCTCACACTCTTGAGGTTTCAGTTCAAGGTTTCGGAGCGAGGTTGATATAGCCTCAAGCCCTCAGCCGTTCGGGGCCGAGGGTACGTGTTGGGTAGTTGCCACGACTCGACGTTCAGGTTTACGGCGTCTGGGGGATTCAAAGTCAGGCTTTTGGATTTAAGGTTCATGGCCACGGTTTACCCTTTCCAGTGCGGCTCCGTGGCATCATGGTGATTCTTTGCATACATAGGCTCATAGGGAAGCCGGTGCTGCACAAGCCTTCCTCAGAGACATTTGCGCAATGCAAGGAGCAAAGAAGTGTCCCTAGTACGTAAATAGTATATACATTGGCCTTAAAGTACTCCCTATATGGGTACATTGGGCCCAAGTATATACTATTTGGGTACATGGACCCTTAGGGTGTTTGCTGTAGGATTACACACGCCAGAAGAGCAAAAGGATACTGTACTACAGCCTTGTCCTTTTTCATGGTTCCCCCAAAAGAATAAAGAGGCCGGCTAGTAGACTTTTTAAATAATTCCCAGTACAGTAAGGGATATAGGTATAGGGCTCTGTCTATTATTTATAAAAGGACAAAGGTGCCACTGTACTATACAACTTGATCCTCGAGAAGTTCGAGCTCTACCGAGGCCCAAAAACGGTTTCACATCAAGCATGTAAGTAAATTTCAGAACTGACACTGCAAACCCTAATACCTATGTACTTCAAACAAATCCTGGCATAAACCGTAAACCCATCAAGCCCGACACCTGACCTAAACATGCTTTTGGGCCCTTAGGGTTTAGGGTTTAGGGTTTCGGGGTATGAAGATTCCGAAGGTTCCCTTTTCTCTTCGCAGTGGCTAGGCTACGAAGTCCCACGAGCCAGAATGCTTGACTAAGGACTTGTTTGTTTGAAAGGGCGCTTGGAACATAATATCGATTATAATGAATGTGTATGTAATACATACAATAGCTCATGTAGACAATATTATATACAGTATTTAGGTTATAAGTCGTTCTATAATATGTGTATATATATATATGTATATTCACACAGTACTAGATACTTCATAATGCATAATATGATGTATATATGTAGTGTAATGTATTTCATTCAAGATTTATTATAGCACGTGTAATATTTAAACTCCTAATATATGATATATTGTGCAATAGATCACAAATGGTAGATAAATATAATAAGCAATATACCGTATGCATTAGAAAATATAGAAAATACAACATACATCATATATTATATATACAGAATACACACGCAGACAGGAACTATAACATAGAGCGTAACATACAGCATCTGTAATATGCAATAGAACAAGATATGGTTTATGAACGTGAGTACGGTTTACTATAGAACACATGCGTGTTTGTTTATTTTATGCATGTTACTACAACATCCTATGCAGTACATTATGTGCCATGTCTTTCACAGTATATATGTTCTGTTACAAATTGTCTTGTTTCATTGTATTTTGTATCGTATACATTCAGCACGATATAAGATAAAAAATGCATATGTACATATGTTTATGCATATATGCACAGCCGAGATGATATGCAAGCTATATGATTTGCGGTTCACATTTTTATGGTAGAAT